TGTCTGACCTTCTGACAAAAATTCGTGATGTACAATACCGTTGTAATTCATGAAAACCGTGAGCATCGCTTTCTTTTTCGACTGAAAACAACGTGGTTTTTTTGGTCTTGGTTCATTTGGAGCTCTCCATTCACTCGCCTGATGTTTGGATTGCGTGTCATACTCATAAACCCACGTCTCGTCTCCAATAATGATGCATTTGATGAATGTTGGGTCGGATTCAGTCTTGGAAATCATTTGGCGATGTCAACGCGGTCCCTTTTTTGCATGAAATTCAGTTCCTTCGGGACAAACTTTGCAGCAACACGGCGCAAACCCAAATCATTAACTACAATGTCCTGAACGGATCCATAAGCAATGTTTAAGTCCTCTGCCAGCTCTCTGATAGTTAATTTGCGGTTATTGGCCAACATTTCTCTCACTTTATTGATGTTTTCGTCGGTTTTCGATGTCGACGGCTTGCCACTGCGTTCGTTATCCTCGACGGATTCACGACCACTTCTGAAGCGTTCATGCCACTCGTAAACGGTTGTTTTCTTTAGAACATCACTGCCGAAACAGTTTCCCAACATTTCCAAGGTTTTCGCACCATTGAATCCATTTTTAACGCAAAATTTAATACAAACTCGTTGTTGCAAATTCAACTCCATTTTTAAAACTGTAAAAAATCGAAAACACGCGCAGAGGTAGATGTACTCAAGACGGCGTAATTTTTACAAATGTCAAGCTATGGCGATAAAATTTGATGGAAATGTCAATGATAGATGTGGCAACCTAGCCAAAAAAAAGAACTCAAATCAGCTGACTCAGAGCATCACCTGGTGGTCTCTTCCGAAAACTTTTTGATCAAGCTGGTACATGAGAGATCATCTATTGCCAAATAACGCAATATTTCCTGTCGTTATTATGTCGTATTAACGCCATATCTCAAATTGTATAGAAATGTGATAATCAAAAATCCCATTTAAAAAATGGTGATAATTTTTTCCGTTGATTGGCTTTATAAAACGACCGATTTGGCATTCTGTATTTGTAACAACTTTTGAAGTGATTACAGTTGTGTAAGCTTTTCACAGTCCACCTGGTCAAGGACTGTAAACTCGTTGAAATCCTTTCTAAGAAATCGCACGTGCACGAATTCTAAACATTTATAGCAAAAATTTTTCTTTGTTGTATACATAAGCTCTTCTTACATGTATCTATTTCTCAATGAAAGTTAATCCGATTTACTCTTTGTTTCCTTTTAATGCAATTGATGCGTGTGTAAAATGCGATTTCGTATCTAAGAGATATCCCTCACTTCGAACGGTCAGCTTGAAACTACTGCGTGTTGCACAATAGAATACTATAAGCGCTCGAATTCAAAATCAAATATAGAGATACAGAATATTTACATAGAATATTACATAAAATATTTACATATATTTAACGTAATGAGATGAGAAAATTATGAAAAATTACAATATTTTTTTAATACGAAATATGTGATCTAATTTAAAAAAAAATACGTAGTAAGAGAGAAGAGATTATTTAAGTACGTCATGTTATATTTAGTTCACATTGCACGTGTCTAAAGACAAAGTCACGTATGGATGAATATCGGCATTATTGGGTTAAAAAAGTAATGTTCATAAAAAAAATCGTCACAGTTAAGTTAACATAGTTATTATGCATGATGAGTTGATATTGAATATCAAAGAGTATTTATATTGAACATCTTTTATTTAGGTATCTGGGAATTCGTGATCTTAAAACATTAAAGGAACAAATGCTATTAATATGGAATAAAAATTAACCCTCGGAACTCACTTAATTATAAATATCTTCGTCAAAAATGTTAAATAATTAAATTTTTATAATGTTACATCTGCAAATTTAGATTGTTCTCATTAGAATATACTTAGTATTAATTTTTATGTCATTTTGATTTCTCGAAATTAATTAGTGTCTTTTAATTATAAATTAAATAGGTCTTCCTCAGTAACTAGATTACAGATTTTAATGTCATCTCCGGAGAGAATTAATAATTGGTAGGATATGATGAATATATTGAAATACAATTTTTGTCTTTAATTCGTCATGTTAAATATCCAGATTAGTAAGAACTTATTATCTACTTTAAGCTATCCATGTAAGCTATCCACGTAAGCTTCGCTTCCGATTTCGTCGGTAGTTTGTTCAGAATCCAATTCCTCCTTTTCAGAATCATCAAATTTTTCATACTCAAAATTCTGTTCGAGTATCGACGTCGCATCTTCTTTTCTAGCCGCATTTATTTTTCTGTCCGCGTCTTGCATTCCGATTTTTCTTATTTTGTCTACGATGAATAATTCATCCTGCCTTTTGAGGAATTGTGTTACGTCGGCCTCCAATCCTTTCCTTGGAAGGACATCATTTTGTTGTCGGCTGATAGCATCCAAGAGCATGCTCATTGTTTCCGTATAATCCGGCTCGAACATCTTTCCCTCGGGATTCTTTTGAAATAAATACTCGGCCTGAAACGAGAATATATTCGGAATATATTCCTCAGTGTAATATTTTGCCATGAGTTTAGATGTCGAATATAATGACGGTAAAATATTTCGATACATGCAAGATTTATAACAAATCTGACAAATTAATTAAATGTAAATAGAATACAGTATAAAGCATCAATTAATTATAAAGCAAAATATTGTGGGGTGCGTTTTATTACAAATGGAAGTGACTTAAAAGCATTCAACTCACACAATTCTCTTTTCAATTAAAATGCGTATACGAAACTTTTTCCGACTGTGTTGCAATTTCTATATAATTAACCCGGCAGTGATTCTGCATTCTTCACCTGTATGCGAGAATACGCAAGAGTGTGAGGTCGACCTCATAATCTGTTTAGAAACAGGTCATGTGTCATCTACAACCGATATTACGACCCACTTTCTCTCTCAATGTCATTCGTTCTATTACGCTTGGATTTTTGTATCAGAATTCTTCTCGCGATTCTACATACAACCCACGCGTCGATTTACCTTTACCGTTTCAATTCTCCGCATTATCGTGAGAGCTTTGCCGCTGTTTTATTTCTAGCTGCAACAATGATTGACACAACAATGCGGCTATCATAAATGCTGCTACATAGTTTTGCCGTAAACAATACCTAATGCGAGATCGTTCGACAATAAATGGAAATGGCGAATCTCGATCGACATTTATGAAAGTTATAGGATATTACGCGAAGACCGTTACTTATTATTAAGTTTGTAATTGTTTATTGTAGGAATGCGTTAAACTACGTCAGTTCCATTATTTTCTATTATTATACCAAATTGATGATTTGCGAATTTAGTAATTAATACTGATAGAAATTTAATAATGTTCCTTTTGCATTGTGTTTCAAACAACTAATGAATTATTATCCACCTGAATATTAACACCAGCATGAGGTTTGCCGCGCTGTTAATAAATTAGTTACTGCTGCGGTAAGCGTCATCTCTATATTTTGCATGTGCATGAATATTTACATGACGCCAATACAATACAGTCAATACACCCTTGTATATATCACACAATGCTCTCTTTCTTCTTTCTCTTTAATAAATGAAAATATAAGTCTAATATGTATCGTAAATAATATTATGTGTAAGAAATAATTTTAAAATGTTTTTAAAAATGTTTTCACTCAAAAATATTTTCAGCAAATTTAATAATGTTCCTTTCTGCATTATGTTTTGAACTACTAATGATTATACCTGAATATTAACATCGTTTGCATGAGATTTGTTTATATATATTATATACTGTTAATAAATTAATTACTGTTACAAGAAGAGAGAATCTTTTTATATTTTATTAATTAATGCAGAGAATAATTTATAAAAAAGATTATTGGCAATTAGCCAGTATTTCTTTTATATTATATTAAATAAAGATATATTAATCTGTTTTTTGTTTTAATACAACATGCCATTTCCGTTTATTGGTTTCCTTTAATATATTACTGTTAATAAATTAATTATTGTTGCAAAAAAGATCTTTCTATATTTTATTAATTAATACAGAAAATTATTCATAAAAAAGATTATTGGCAATTAGCTATTAATCAGTGTTATTTCCATATTATATTAAATAAAGATATTTTAGTTTGTTTTTTAATACAATATACATTGATTTTCTTTAATATATTTTCTCTCTCCAGTAGCATTCGCATACAATTTAATGTTTTTTATTCAATTTTCTCGATATTGTGAAATATTTTTTAATAGGTATATCTGCTGTTACATCGTTATAATAGCGAGAGGCTTAAATTTAAGTTTTACAGAGATTTGTTAATGGAAAATTAAACCGTTATAACGTAAAAAAGCTTTTATTGTGTAATTTTTCAAAATTCTTTATTTTCTTACAAAAACAACTGTCGACAGTATAAATAATTTAACCAAGTATTTGCTCTATTTTAAAACTCGTTAACTCATTATTTCTCACCAAAATTATCTGTCGAGACGACGATGATGCAATTTGTGAAAGCATAAAATCTTGTTACATCGCTCATTTTATTTATAGCAGTGTAAATATTATATTACGTTGCATTCGTAATTTTAACATAGTCATGACGTCACATTTCGCACATTCCCCATCGTTATTAATTTTCCTCTGTAACTTGGTCCACGCAATCGGCAGCACGCTCTTATGCAAGAATGTCTAAAGATACTAGCTTATTGTTGCGTTATCGTATTCTATTACCTTGCAATCTCGTATTCGCTTGTGTCTCGATATTTCCCAAACAACGTTAGAATCCTGTTTTGTTTGCACACGGTCCGCATAGAAATGATCACATTATCTATACGTCTAAGAGAGTGTTTTATCGTATTGCGCAGTGACATAGGTAATAATGAGAGTATATGGCTCAGAAAATTTAGTTTAAGACTGCACAAGTCCAATATATTTAGAATAGAAAACAATACATCTATACGTATGATCTTAATGGTTTTTTTTCGTAATTACACGAAATGGTAACTGAATGTACTTAGTAAATCGATTTCGAATACATGAAGAGAATACGATTAAATCGAGTTTGTCTTTGTAAATCGAGTTTGCGATAGTTCACAAGGCAAAACAAGATTCACAATACAAAACTCTACTAAAGACTGTCAAAAAAATTTATAATAAATATAATTTACTAAATACAGATTGACAACACTTTGTTGTGACAATATGAAAAAGTACTGGTGTATCAAAATTTTACCAGACGATGATTCACTACACTTAGAGATCAGTATTCAAATAATTGAGATAATACAATGAAATTTTTATCAGACAGCCAACATTTCTCTCTATCTAATTCACAGCTTATGATGGAAAATATATAGCCGCAATACTCTTAAAGTTTGAATAGTTTACTAAGTGACAGATCTATCATCTTTATAAATTTGTGCACTCAAAGAAAGTCAATAATAATGGCAACTATAAAGATGACAACTGCACAAATTAAATTAGTATGCATAGCTGAGTAAACTAATGTGCATAATTAAATAAACTGTGTAATAGTTGCAACAATTATAAAATAATTTATTTAGCTGTGTACATTAATTCTATATTTAGCTATGTACATTAATTCTACATTAATTCTACACATAATACTTATATAATTATCACCTTCATAGTTACCATTATGTTTTCTTTGAGTGTGATAATGAAGAAGATAGATCTCTCCAACGTTTTCATAAATATAACCAAGAATCATAAGAGGGATATAAAAAACTTTTGGAAGCTCAGGTCAATAGATGAATGGAAGAAAATTATATTTTTCTTATCACTAAAAGAGATAATACATTACGGAATGATGTATTCATAAATATCAATGAACAATAATTCCGAATTTTATCCGTTTTATCCCTACTTTTATCCCTGACATTATTCCTTGGCTTGCTTTCTGAAATTGCATTTATATGAAATAATTATCTTTTAAATAATGAATTCTGAAGATTGGACATATCGCTACAATATCATGGTATACTAATTTATTGCATCATTGGAAAACATTGAATGCAAATTTATTTTATCCCTCTGACTTCTTTCCGTCTCTTCTTTTTTTCTCCTCATCTTTTCTTATTCTTGCTACGACTTTTATCTATCCGTTTATGAAACTATCTATATACAATGAGAACTTTCTATTACCAATTTTAATGAAAAAAAATCACTGTCTAAAAGAAAACATTATAATGAATTGAAAGTAGACAAGAACTTTCTCCTACGTAGGCAATTTTAAGATTGAAGGAAATAGAAAATTGGAAAAATGAAGATCTAGGTGATGAGATTCGTCATTCGCAAAAAGGTTGTAAAGCGGATTACAATGTTTCGCGTCAACAAAATTTATTTCAGCAACATCAAGAATATGCTGTATATTTATTTTTTAGTTAAATAATTGCAATCTAATAAATATTTATATATAACGTTTATATAAAAAATTATTGAAAATATTTTATTTCAAAAAATTAAAATATATACGTAAAATTAAGTGAATACACAAAATATACTTAAAAAAACGTCTAATACTGAATTTACGATAATTCAGATTGCGTTTGTATGATCTTTGAAGAGATCGATCGTGAATAATAAAATGAATTAAGACGATTACTGAAGCTGATAGTGAAAAAAATTGCTTATGCCCTTTGCGTTTCTCCGTAATAGCGGACCGATCAAAACCGACGAAGCTCGAAATCACGAAATTATAGATAGAAGGTCTCGATATGGTCGACAAAGAGCTAAGAGAACGGTCATGCTCCTATTCCCCTCGTGGTTCGATGCTCCGGAGTGGAACGACGTCTAATCGCGAGCAGCAACCTATCGATTTCCACGGGAACGGGATTTGAAGTGTGAAAGTTGTTCTCGCATTTGCACATGTGAAAATGTTCCTTTCGCGGCGATTGCCGAACTGTGTCGAAAATCTAACGAAATTGCCTGGTTTGATGATTTCTTCGAGTATTCCCACTCCGAATAGGTCCCAATGGAATTTTATTCGATAGATATGTCATGTGCCCAACGCTTCCACTCTCATTAATTGCACGTATCTACACGCGCGTACGTACGTTATCACTTTTTATAATTAACCCGTAATTTTTTATAATTAACCCGGAAACATGTATTTTTTGTGACGTTAAAGAAATATATAAATCCTTGGGACACCCCAAGTTTTTTGTTATTAATTTTAGAGGAAATTTTAAACTATATAAAGAAATTTTATTATATAAAAAATTGTAACGCTGGATAAATATAGTACGATAATTAGTCTACATAAATAAAACAAAATAATGAAAAAAAATTGTGAGACATAAAATTATTTCAATTTATTACGCTATGTAAAAATTAGAAACGTGTTCTAGGGTTACCAGAATCCATATGTTTCAGTTACGAGTAAATTCAAGCATAAATTTTTGTTTGAAATGTCATTTAAATTTACCAATTATTATTTAAAACTTTTAAATGACAAAAGTTATTACAGTAGTTTAATCTTGGTGTATCTTTATGCTCGTTTAAATGAGATATTGTTATATTTATTCAACAAAATTTTATAAATCTTTTAAATATAACGAGATATTTTTAAATTACTTGTTGAGATTGTGATGAAAAAAAATACACTGCGATGTAACATTCTTAATGGATGTTACATCCTTAATGGATGACGTAGATTTTTAAACCTTCGAAAGAAAAACAACATACATTTGACAATATAAAATCTTTCAATAATTTAAAACATATATATAATATTTCATCAATAAACTTTTTACAATGCGCAAGCCCATATAACTCTTTTTCTTTTGAATTTGATTATTTCATCATGAACCGATTACAACAATGTTATGGGATTATTGACGCGAAATTCGAGCACGTGTTATGAAACGTATTATCTTGTTTTGCAATAATTATTGATGTACATTTGTGTAAAAAAGCTTATCTTTTAACTTTTAACTTTTACTTGTATTCCTGGACATTAATAACTTTTCGTCCGACGAGGGATAATCGTCAAACGTCTTGTCGTTTTCTCGGATATGCCAAATGAACTGTGAATTTAACCGAATTAAAAATGGGTCACTTGACGTAATTTTATTTCAGAGTTCCTTCAGTACAACGAGCTAAACTGATGAAGTTTAGTTCGTTGGAACGCAGCGATACTATAATTTATTTCTCACAGCACATTGTGGCAAGTTAATTTTATTGTATTTCTGTGCGACACGTTTTTCGCTTTTGCTTTACGTAATTTCAAATTATTATCTCAACTACCAACAAACCAGTAATTGGCGACACTTATGATGGAAGTGTATGAGTACGTATTACATCGTTTTTCGTAATTGAATACAGTATGGTATTTCTGTAGTAATAATAGAACGATAAGAAAGATAACAAACGATGATATACTAACGAGAAAGTCTATTGGATCCTCCGGTCGTAACTTTGCCACTTCTATCAAAGCTTCTGTTAGCGTTGGAAAAACATACGTCATCAGATACTGGCGTAACGGCTCTGCCAAAATACAAAGTCTCTCCTCCTCTTCTAATTTCAACTTCTCCATCAGATTTGTCTGTAAAAGACAATACTTTATTGATTACGCGATTTATATTACTGGATTACATGGCATATGCTTGAAAGTCGGAGAAATTTGAATCCCGATGAATTCATTTTATCCTTTCTCCTGGAGCTGACAGTGAAATTTATTAGATTCATTTAATTATAAATCTTTGTCAAAAATATTGAATTTAATCTTCTTTATGTTAAATCTGCAAATTTGGATTATTATTATTGAATTGTGCTTAATACTCATTCTTGTTTATATGCCATTTTGGCATCTTGAAAAATTAATTTATACCTTTTAATTAACATTTCTTACATTAGTTTTACAGCTCCAGCGTTAATTACAGATTTTAACGATTTTACAAAAGAAAGTTAATTTAGTGGACACATATCTTGTAATTTCCATTTTACGTAAAATAATCGTGAATAAGAGAAAGATTTGAACTATAATAGATATAAAATAGATATTTTACGATGACTAACACGAGAAAAGAAATCTTGTTAGAATCTAGATAATTTAATATTTGTATTATATAATATTTTAGAAATTTATTCTTGATTCTTGTTCCGCTCTAACTGAATGATTACCGTTGTATAATTTACAAAGAGATTTTACAAAGAGTCATCTTATGAGCGGCCAACCATGATCGATACGCATTTGCATTTGCCGCTAGCTTGAATCGCTAATGTATAAACTACAAGTACAAACTTCGTATGCAAAAAAGTCCCGTAAACTTCAAACGCGACTAATCTAGTCGCGTAACTTTGCCAGATACGCAGATTGCAAAAAATAGATTAATATTGCAAGCGAGTACTTCAACTCATCCAGTTCGTTTAATCTTTATATCCGCTTACGAACTACTAATTCGCCTTCAAAAATGATTTTCAGATTTGAAAATTTTATACTGGCTTGCAAAACAATATAATACGCGTTGCAAACATCTATAGCGGAAATGTGGGAAAGCCTAGTAGAATATTCGTCGTTGTACAGGCATCGCCAGGATCAATAGCGTGGCGTTCATGGTTGACGGTGCGATTTCATTGAAAGAAAAGCCGAATATCTGCTTTCAGAATCACGCACAGCTAAGCAGAAACTTACTAATTCATGCTGTCGTGATTACGTTGATTAAATTAAAACTCGCTTATGACAAACATACATTGCAATAGTAGTATAAAAAAAGAAATAAGAAAGTTACCATACGCTGATTATACTCACTCTATAAATTATATTATACTAGTTATTGCAAATGTGAATTTATTTTATTTTCATTGAATCAAGCATATTATATCAGTTTATACTTTAAACAGCTGAAGGACCGTTTAGCAATTTTAATAATTAAAATGGCTTATATATAAATAATTTATATACATTGGCAAACCTGATATTAAAATATTAATATCAATTTTATGAATTAATTTATTGTCTGTACCGTACTAATTCAATAATTCCTTGAACATATGAATATTAATAGAAAATGTGGAATAAATTAAAATATATTTAATTACATATATAGTTTTAAAATTTAATTTCTATATGTTGAAAGTATTTACAAACCCATTCCATTTTCTTTTCACGCTGTCTTTTATATTCCAAAATTTCTTGCTCTTTTCGCAATTTTTCCGCCTCTTCAGCAGCTTGTGTTTCCGCTTCAACACGTTTCCGAGCAACTTCCATTTCCTCAGCTGTTGGTCCTAAATGGAAAAAAAGTATTTCAACGTTGTAACTTCTAATATTATCTAAGAAATAAAATTATGGAAGAACAAACATGATAAGTTAATAATAATAGATTCCAGAGTAATAAATAAATTTTATAAGATCCCTTTAATTGCAAAAGCTTTTTTCATCATCGTTATATTGAATCAATAAAGAGTAACTTTGATATTATTTTATTAATCCGTACAAGAGCCAATATCTTTGGTTAACACTAATTGAACTGATGTTATTTTTTTTTTGTAAATCGCAGATATAATTACGATCCGAACAAAGAAAAAAACGAACTAAAATTCCAGTGGCGAAAGGATCGACCTTTAGCTAATGAGAAATACAAGCATATTAAAAATTAAGCTGAAATTATTACTTGATACGAGAAGAAAATTTTCTTCTCGTGATTCAACAGCTTCATTAAAGAATAAATCCTCTTTAATAAATTTTACTTCGAACAATAGGAGATGTCATCCCGTGACATTTATTTTTTCGTCAGTTTAGACTAGGAATAATGAGCGTACGGTAACAGAACATGCGCAATAATATTGGAAACGGATAAAAGATGTTTATGCGCGCATCACAAAGTATGGAAAAAATTGATATGAAATCGAGAGAGAGGATATGAATTATCGCGCACCATAATTTCTTGGTTTTCCTAATTTTTCCAGGCACTGATAAATCGTAGGGAACATATCCGGGCAAGTGTCAGTTTCCACAGAGATGATAAGTGGATGGATTTCCATTTCGTCGAATAATTGTAACGGCGTGTTATCATCCGTATTTCTCTCCCTAGAGTATCAACCGTGATCTAATGTGTATACATTTGTTGTAACTTTTGTACAAATAAACTTACACATTTTAATCAATAAGTTATTTACACAAACTGCACAATTTTATTTGCACAACGTAAAAAAAAATTATGTAGATCACAGTAATGATTAATTTATTTTATTATTTAAATTATTATTTAAATACAGTTTGCAGAAAAATAGAAGCAGGTTTTTATTAATATATAAAAAACATAAAAAGCACTCAACTGAAAATTCTTTAATCAAATTAAAGTCGCTCGAGTGAGTCCTGTTTTAAGTTGTGCCGTAGCGTAAAATAACTAAATTGTCGCGTAATTTTTAACTTATCATGATGTATTTGATTTTTTCACTTATTACATTTTTTGCGGATGTAATCGATCTTCATCCATGCATTTTTCAATCCCATTTGCGCGAGATTGGAAGTTAACTTCAATATCGATTTCTTTGTCAAAGCTATCATGATACGTATAAACCGTAGTTTTCTTTTTATGAACGTAGACACTTTTAAGCCATAGATATTTTTTTCCATCTCGCATACATGATTAATATCTACCTGTATTCTCTCATGCGTCGTAGCATGTGTTCCTCCGTATAATGTGTGCTTTGTATTTCCCTTTCTGGACGATTTATGATTCGTTCCTTCAAAAACTCGTCACTCGCTTCCAAAACGACGACCAATTCCGGTAGAATCACCGTATTAACATTTCTGATTTCGACATTGTCGTCCAATTTTTCTTTGATTTCTTCTAAATCGTCCTTGCTGATCAAAAATAGATTCCTGGCTTGTTCAAGAGTCTTCGGGTGTCCATCCATCACGTAACCTTGATTCAAACAGTCCTTCGAATTCAATCGGCTTAGGAACAACCTTTAACGTTAATTGATATTTCTATTATCATCTTTTTAACAATACAAAATATCGTTTGTTAATAATATTAATTGAATTATTTATTTTAAAAGATAAATTTTAAATCTTATTAAAATTAATATTTTAAAATTTACAGCCACAAAATTTAACAATTTTAATTTTAATCTGCATTTAATCTTTCGGAGCTGACAGGTCTATTGAATCTATTGAATCCATTCAATTAAATATAATTGAGTAACTCCAATAATTTTTAATTTGTATATGTAATAAAGAATGTATGTTACATCTACAAAGTGTGAATTAGTATTATTAAAGTAAACTTAGTATTCATACATACACATATTATTTTTTTATACGAGTTATGTTTGAAATTAATTAGTGCGTTTCAATTAACATAAGTTAAATGAATTTCACAAACTCGACATCAGTAACAGATTTTGACGTCAACTCCGAAGGAGTAAATGTACCGTTTCTAGGTAAACAATTTAAGTATTATTTTCGACTTAAGTACTTTCTTGCAACATGTTACATCTACGTTACAAAGTTGGCGAAGCGTGGTTTGTAACCTATGATATATAATGAAATTTATTCTACAATATTGGATAGATGTTTACGTCAAAACTTTGATATGTATATTGTGTAACTTATCTGACAAGGAAATACGTTTAAAAAAATATATAATGTTTTATGCTCTAACTGTATCTAACTACTCCATTAGTTCCAGAAAGTGTGAAAAAAACGTACAAGAATACATGTTCATTTATTACGAATTCGCACGTTTTTTATTGTACATGCATTGCCGACTCATCGATCCGAATGGAACGTAACACAGGAGCACGTAAATGAGTTCGCTTTTTATGCAATTAGCGTTTTCGGAGGAAGCCATTCTAATTTTAACGTGAACTGGACCATTGCATCATTATGCCGTTAATTAGATAACATTTCGGCGTCAATGTGATTACAGCACCGCAACGCAGGAAACGAAGCTGATTAACGATGTAAATTTTCTAAATACGAGTTTGTGAAGCTAAGCTCAAATAAACGTTGCTGAAAGCTTAGTAGAATTTGTAGAACTAGCACATTATAATATTTAATCACTTATTTAAGATGGTATCATCGAGACGGCCATTATTCACTGCCATGTTGGATTGGATTTCATCAAACTCTTCTTTCAATCTTGCCAAGTTGACCTCTCTTTTATCGTCTTCTTCTTCTTCTTCTTGAGTTCTTTTATTCTCGTCATTATCTACGCTTTCTGCTGTATTCTTCAGGTCATCTTGTCGTCCTATATCTGCTTCCATAGCTTCAATGTCGTCAATCTTAGAATCACGATTGCTGATTTTATTGTTAATTGTTATATACAGAATGAGTACATAACAATTGATAATAATTGATCTTTTCGAATAAATACGCTCACCAATTTTTGGATTGTATCAGAGATCAACGTTTTCACATGAATATAATGTATTCCATAATAATCTGCGAGATATCGAGCAACCCGTGTTTTCCCAGATGCTGGCGGACCAAGAACGACTATTTTCACTGGATGTAGATTTCGCGCTGTTTTATATTCATTTATGACTATGTCTACAATGTCTCGAAATGGCATCTCAAAATACCAGTGTATTCGGTCAATGATGTACACGGGATCGATGTTTAAATCCACTGTCATTTGGTCATATACCTGCTGTGACACTTCCGGTAACAAAAGAGCTTTTTCTTTCGATACGCATTTTACATTACCGGTAGTTAAGCCTTGACTGATTTTCTGTTTACAAACATATTAGATAAAAATGCTTTATGTATCGAAGTACATTTATTTTTAATTTTCTCGTTTTGTTTTGCAATATTTTAAAAATTTATTTTACTTTTAAAACCCTCCTTTTTGCTTTATATTGGAAGTTAAAACTTGACTAACTTTGTGTTTACAATCACATTAATCGAAAGCTAAAAATACTTTATGTATCGCAATACATTAATTTAATTTTTAATTCCTTATTTTGTTTTACAATTTCTTCAAAATTTATAATATTTTACTTTTAAAAAGACATAAAAAAGTAAAAATACATAATTATCTTATATATAATCTATAATGTATAATTTATTTATACATATGTATAATCTATATACATATATAATTATTGTATAGTTTTTAGTTATAATAAATATATGTACAACATTGTGCACTTTTAATACTTTCTCCACTAAATAACATCATATTATTTTTTAAAAATAAAATGAATGTATAATACTAAAAATATTATATATATATATATATATATAATAAGTATAAAATGATAATGCATTTGCGTTTTATGAAAATTTGTACATAATAAAATAGTTTGCACGCGATATGCAAATCTTCATAATAAAGAAAATATCCGTAAATTATTGTGAAGAGTTAATATTCTCTATCCTTCGATGGACTTGATTAAAAAAAAGTCAACTCTAAATACTTGATTCCTTATTCCGTATTACTTATGTAAACCAGTTTATGCAAGTAGGACGAAGAATGTTTTTAAAACTGGTTTGCGCGAGTAAAGCTAAATATGAATCAGATTAATGAAATCAACCCTCATTTTGAATAATTGAGGTCAATATACGTTTATACTAAAAAAATAACGCAATAAAGATTATCATAATAGTTTTCAATTTGTCTACGTTTTCCTTATTGCAAATTATGCATTATTTAATCGCACATAATATTGTTCCGATATTTTTTTTGTAAAATAAGAAATATAATTTTAAAAATCTAAGAGAAAATATTTTATATAATATTTTAATATTTAATTTGTCAATAAGTGAAAGAATTTGTACCTTAACAATCGTATTTTGAGAGATTAATTCCCGCTCTATTGCCACAATATATCGCATCGGAGGCCAATTTTGTAATACTGAGGATACAATTCTGAAAATCAAATTACTTGTAACAGTAAGCGGATTTGGTTAACCAAACAATTAGAACTCCAGCGTGCTCAAATAAGCTTATGCTAACATTCCATATTGAGGTATAAAAATTTATAGAATATTAAACTTTTTCAGAGATCACACACATAATATTAAACATTTTGAAATTGCGATATTTATGCTATTTCTAAATTGTATATGCATATAATATAAACTATTTTATTATCATTTTTACTGTTATTATTATTTTTATAATAAGTCAATTTTCTTTAAAAAGTATATATAAAAATATTGATTTATAAAATTGTTTTTTTTTGTGATACTAAATACAAAAAATAAAATTGATAAAAAATAGTATTATATTATTATAAAATGTTATATTGCAGTATTAATGATGGTTACATAATATTAATAATTTGATAATACTAGATCTAGTTTAAAAATAAAGATGATATTAATAAGAAAAAGTTTTATTGCAGATATTTTATATTGCAAATAAGCAAAGAAAATTAAATTTCTTTTCCTATAATATATTTCAACGAGCACCTTAAAACAGATGTCAATATTGTAATTTCTCGAACAAGATAAATGTTTTTATATTACTTTTCTATTATCACTCACGCGGTCAAGTCACGAACATGTAAAAGAGGTATCTTGTTCCGCCCTTTGCCAAATATAGGTAATAAAGGCACGTTTTGCCATCCCATTTTAAAAAGATAATGAAGTGGACCTTCCTCCTCGCCGTATGTAATGCCGCAGCAAATAACCAACGTTCGTAATTTGCTCTTTAAATTAGCGATCTTCTTCACAGCCACAACCTCTCTTTCACATTGAATGTGTTCCTTGTAATTTGGATGAGGTTTTCGTTTTCGATAATCTGCTTCCGTAAAAGGTAAATCTGGATCTGCTGGATCTAACGGCTTCGTGAAAGCCCACGTCATTATGGTGGAAATTAAAATAAAATGTCGTATTGGCTCTTTTTGTTTAAAAGCTTTTGGTGATTTTTTTTCCATACTTTCTAACATGTTAATAATCTCTGAAAGTAGAAGAGACCGTATTTATTGTATCGATAAGAGCTACATGTAAATTTTAAAGCCAGTTCTTTATTTTTAACGCATCAAGCAGCTTTTTATTAGATACTTAAATGGTAAAGTAAACTAGGTATAAATCGTTATTTATTCCCTAACAAAACAGAAAACGAAAATAACAATAAATGACATTAGATCGATATATAAATACACAGTAAGGGAAAAACCTTATGAAAATTTAAATAGTAGTGCGAGTATTTAATTATTAATAATTATACAATGTAATTTAAAAATGAGTTATTTCAATGCATAAAATATACAACATGATTTTTCAAGTTGTGTATTTTTTTAATTAAAAAATTTTTTATGTAAATATTTTTAATAATGAAAAATATATAATGTAATAAATAAATAATATATTTTAGCATTTTCTTCTCTTGACATCACGTTAAATGTAAACATGTGGAAGAATAATGAAATTACATCTTAATTTTTAATTAAGGCAAATTTCATTTTCAAACTGCTGTTTGAAACGACGAAGAGATCTGACATAATGAAACGTATTGACTTAAAATGCAAAAATTTTAGAAGTAAATAATAATTTATTTCTTTAAAACAATTTTTTTTTCTTATAATCTTAAAAGAAAAACGATATTTGTATTAAATGTACCCTTCAAAACCCAACATGCCTCCTTGATCTGGTCTGGTTCCTGTGTAATGTCATAGATAATAATACCGCAAGTCATTAACTCAGACAAAAGAAGGTCTTTGTCATCCGAGTTGATCACTATTACATCCTCTGGATATGAGTACT